TGTGTAACTGTTTAATAATGATATTGTTGTGAGCAAATATTCTTACTTTTCAAACCTGACTGTAACAGGCTCCGACACGGAATGTATACTCAATATCTGAAAATTAAAATACCGTTCCAGATTTTTTGTATGCATTTAATAGAATTCTATTCACAGTTATATTTGTAAATGATATATAACCACAGTAACATAAAATTTAACTGATTAACCGAATCTAACTGTGATAACCACAGTAACATTAAATTGAGAATAAACCCAGCGCACACTGTTAAATACTTGGTTCAAGGTTTCTCCAAATTATAGTACTGAAAAATTTGCAACGAAAACCATTATTTTGTAATAGGTTGAACCAAGAATGGGGAATGTTAAACCATACATTAGGAATACGTTAAATGGACTACAATACGGATTGAGAATACCTTAAATCATTAATTGTAATTATGTTTACCATTAACTGTAATTATTTTGATCCATTAACTCTAAATTATAGGAAGTCAGAGAGTTCAGGCATAAAATTTTATATTAGTCATTTTCTGGTATTTTGTTATTCAATTACTGCTATGGCTCCTTCTGGTATTTTTTAAAATTCATTACTACTATGAGTAAGCAATTTGGAAATTGCTTATGTATATCATCATATCTATAGCAATAATTATTGACGATTTTTATAGCATAGCAGTCTGGTTTCTTTGCATAACATTATTCAGTTTTGGGAGAATGAAACTATAAAATGCGTATCATTAAAATACATACTTGCAATATATTAGTATGCATATAAAAATATATTTTTACAAAGTTGAATGTCTTACACACCAATAAGCTAAAATGTAACTGCTCATTGGAAGAAATGAACTTTAATAAAAATCTATGTTTGATATACCTTCACTTATAAATTAAATTGTATTGATTATTATTATTATTACCACCTTTGTTGTTTAATTCCACTAAATATACCCTCCATACATTTGAAAAGCAGATTTAACATACTCATGAAACAATCTTAAATCATTTTCATACAAGTTTCTTGTTTTTTTTTTTTTTTTTTTTTTTTAGTCCAAAGGGATTTGAATCCCGAAGGACTATTAGTTTCGTTTTGGCATTTTGCGTCGGACGGATAAATGTCGGTTCACTTTTCAAACTGTTGCCACAAAATGTTAGAGTCCTGCATTATATTTGAAGAAATTAAATAATGAAAATCTGCGTAAATGTATGTATGTATATTTCTCACATTGTCATAAAATAACGGTACATAGAGTCATCGAATTTTGAATAACGTAATCCTCCAACGAATATGAGCATGTGGAAGACCAAATTTGAAATTTGTTTTATGATCGATTTCCTATTTTTTAAAACTTTGATAACGAATTTTTGATTAACAAACTCAAGGATTTCAAAGCGAGCAAATGGCAACGTTATGCAGAAAAAACACTTTTTATCTCCAGCGCGTGAGTCTCTGTATCGGAAATTCTAAAGATATGCTCGTTTTAAAAACTATTTTGCGATATTGCTGTTGCACTGGATCTTTATGGTTTAAGTGCGAGGAACATGATATTTAATAAAGAAAGGTAACACACAAAATGTTAAAAAACGCCCCTTTGGACGTAATTTAAAATCTGAAACATTTCAGATTTTTTATTTTTTATTTTTATTTATTTATTTATTTATTTATTTATTTATTTTTATTTTTTTTTTTTTTTTTACATCCTCATGTGGAACATCTATAAATTAGCAGCTTTCGTGTTTAATATTATCAAATTACTTAACAGAATTCTAATAATTTATTACAGTTTGTCTTGACAACAATCTTAAAACAGTACAAAGAAATCACAGCTTTTATCTCGTACAGATTTGCTATTCTACAGACATACATAGCTTTGAGATTAGATTCAAACCCTCCAATATTTAAACTCCCAACAGAAATTGCTATCTCATAATAAAATTGAAATTATACATTTTTGCCTCCTTGTACGAAGTAAAAAGGAAGTAATCGCGAAATATTTCGGGTCTCATATTTGAACGAAAATATCCATTTTGACCGCTATCGAATGCAATTTAACGATGTTTTTGCATGACATCTGTACGTGAAGACATAATAAAAGACTCTTTTTCGCCCAAAAAAATTATGAAACTGATTTAAAATGGATTCTGAAGATATTTTTTTCGTGGCGTCTGTTCGAACGTACGTACGTACGTGTACGTATCTCGCATACAATCAAAAACGAGTAGCCTCAGAACATTGAAATTTTTGTATATAGGACTGCTATAACATGGTACATTGTGAACCTCCCTATTTTGGTTGCAATCGGCCGCAGCCAAAAGTATATAAATTTGTAAATATATATATATATATATATGTAATAATAAAATTCCATAGTCAAGAATACACTTAAAATTCTTACTGTATGTTCTTTTCATTTTTAATGGCGACGGTCTCTTATTTGAAAGTACGTGGAATTAAATCCACAGCCCCATAGTTAAGTTGTTTTCCCCACCTTTTGTACACGTACAGTTATAGAATGTTCTGGAAATATTTAAAGCGAACTGGATTGGCTCACGAGGCTGATTTCTTGGAAGCTCCGCCTTTCCAGAGGCTATAAAAAGACTCGCAAAAGAATATCGGGGGCTTTTTCTTAAATGTCACGATGCAATAAACTTCATACAAAAAGTTATTAGTAATTTTTTTTATTTACTCCGGATATCTGATTTTGTAACTGCTATTTCTCCTGAATAATAATAAATGGATGCTGTTTTTTTTTTTAAAACTTATCGTCTGATAATTTAAGCTACGACTAAAGCTGGTACATCACACGCACACACACACACACACACACACACACACACATACATATATATATCCACTCTGCTACTTGGCTCAGTGAGCTCAATTACTTGGCTCAGCGCTTTGTAATTCTAATCATTTGCATGTCTTACCTCACTTTACATTTCTTGCAAGTTTGGATCAATTTGCATAATTCCTTCGCGGTGTTGCAATTTTCACAAACTTTAGTGTATGTTAAATAATTTTTGTAAATTTTCCCCTTATATTGATTTATGATTACTTCCTTTTACATGATATATCTTTATATCAATAAATAATTAATTATAAGAAAACACAATATTTTTGTCGGTGTCTGCCGAAAACATCGCGGTCAGGTCAAAAACGACGCAAAGAAAACAACGCAAGGCGAAAACGTCGTGGTGCAAAATATCGTCTTCGAAAATAAAGCAGTTCAAAACCTTTGCAGTTTAAAAACATCGTCGTCGAAGATATCGTGGTAAAAAAATAAAGTACCTACAAATTATCGCATGACGATAATATCGCAGACATGCGTTTTTCAGGCTTTAATAATTGTAAAAGCATACTCGCATAATGATTTATGAGCACAAGATGGAAAGAAGGATAATTTTTGCTTTACTTAACATATTTTTTATTAACTAAATAAAATTAAATATTTACTGAAAATTTAAAATGGAAACTTAAGCATAGAAAATTAATGCAACTTATAGCACTTAATAGGATTTTGAACTGGCATAGCTAACTAACAAATGTCATTAATAAATTATATTATTTTAGGTTTTGCTAGTAATTTTTTATGAAAGTATAATCTAAAAAAGATTAGAAAAAGGAAGATAAGTAACTGCATGCCCTTATCTATAAAAAAAACTTGCTAAGTTAATTATGAGATTATGTTCTTCCCTTTTGTTAATCTCTTATAGTGAAAATTATTATTATTATTATTATTTGTTTGTTTAAATTTCTTGTTTTGTTTTTTATAAATTTATTAGTTAATAAAAATATGAAAGTAAAAATTATCCTTCTTTCCATCTTGCGCTCCAAAAATCATTATGCAAATATCCATTTACAATTATTAAAGCCTGAAGAATGGTCATGCGATGATTTTGTAGGTACTTTATTTTTTACCACGATATTTTCGACGACGATGTTTAAACTGCGAAGTTTTTGAACCGCTTTATTTTCGACGACGACATTTTGTGCCACGATGTTTAAGAACTGCGATGTTTTTCTCTTTGCTTTATTTCATCCCGCGATATTTTTTTATACCACGACGTTTTCGCCTTGTGTTGTTTTCTCCGCGATCTTTTCGTCCGCTATGTTTTTGCTGCGATGTTTTCGGCTGTAACCATTTTTGTTAGCAATGAGATATTTATTTTGTCGGTAAAGGGCCAATGCTTAATCGGCTATCGACCCCCCTTGATCGTCATTGACTCTCTTTAAAATTTCATCTGTCTTCAAGTGTCCACACCGACTCCGCTGGGAACTCCTGTTTTAAATAAACATTTCTATTAAAACTTAAGTAATTAACAGCCTGTGCTTTACAAAATTAGTCTCGCTGCTGTGGGATTTAAGAAAACGTAAAATGTTAAAGTAAAATTTAAAGCAAATAAAATGTTAAAATGACGCTGAAAATTTACAGAGTAAAGTCTTAAAGTAAACTTTGATTCAGGATTTTAAGCAACATAGTTAGCAAAAGGCTAAATCTGATTTATGCAAATTTAAGAGTTGGGGAGACATATCACGAAGGTCAACATTGCTACCAAAAGCTGTTTCCCTAACTTTAAGAACTTCCTTTTATATATATATACGTCAACTTGTTTGCATCCTTGATGGGAGCCAATGAAAGAGACAGCAAAGAAGAAAATAATAAGGTAACGGATTAATCGGCATAGAACATTAAAACTAAACTAAGCAAGTTTTAATATTGAGTTACCTTGCTAATTAATTTTAAATGTTTAACAATATTTAGAAAACATTAATTTGATAAGTAATACATAACACGTGATCGTCTTAGAGAGGGCGCACGGCATTCAAATTATCGCTGGAAAGAAATTATAATATCCTATAACGTACAAACACTTTTTCTGCGCCGCCACAGAAGAGCATTTTGATTGAACTTCAACACTGAACTGATAAGAACACGATAATTTTGAATTGATAAATACACAATAAGGAGAAGAACGACCTATCAGTAACGGAAAATGTAAAGGTTATATTAAGAAGATGTGAATCATTCATGTTGCATCCCTTTTCAAGCTTGGTTTTAAAAGTATTTACAGAAATTTAAGTGATTTTCTAGGAGCTAAATGTGTCCCCTCGACCAACTGTTACTTCTATTTCTGAGGTTCTGGTGTATACTGCAATAATGTCCCAGTTTGAAGCGTATCGTGGAATTTTTATTCAATCAAAGGAGTCAAACGAAGAATTCATAAAAGCTTGCATAAGGGAACTTCAGCCAGTATGTAACAGTCCTATAAAAAGAGTTGTGCCTTATGGAGGTAATGGAATTCAAATGTATTTCAAGAATGAGAGAACAGTAGTAACTGTTCTGAGACGGAGAGTATTATTAGTGTCAGGGAAAAGATGTGAAATGTGTCCTTTAGTAACACATTTAACTATACATAAGGTTATTCCGAATAATGAGCATGATGTACAAAAAAAGCTTTCCGATAAGCTGCAGCTCTATGTAGGACCAGTACTAAAAATAAATGAACTTCCAATATCGAAGGAATATCCATCCATAGGCAGTGGTAATTGGAGAGTTGTTATTGATATTCCTGAACTCGAAGCCCTAAAAGTGTTTCAAAATCTCAAGAAAAAGATGCTTAAAAATTCATCGAACGAAACGAGCATTCAATTTTTTTACGCAGAAGACGGCATGAAACTTTCTTTCTTTTGTCGCAAGTGTGAAAAAGATGGCCATATTTCACAACGTTGCAAAATGCTATTGAAAAGAAAAAATAAACCAAGTGTTAATAAGCCATCTGGTAACAATATACGCAGTAATACTTGTTTTCAGAAAGGTGCCGCAGCCAGCGCATCAACTGCTTCTAACAATCCCATCCGAGAACAAACTTCCCGTGAAGCCACTGGACAACCGAAAAGAGAAACTTTCAGTACTTCTATGCGTAAACCAAGTGTAGATGATTATTGCCGGAAACTATTGCTTTTGAGTAAGTCAAAAGTTTTAATTATAGGTTTTCTATGAAGTCTCATATATATTTATTTTCCATAAATGATTTTACATGGACCTTTATATTTTAACCGTTGTTCGTAGATATACATTTCCATTTGCGAAAATGTAAAAATGTTTTAAATATTGCAGTATCCATATTTGGGAATTTTTAAATAAAAAAAAAAAGAATAATTTTCTAGAAGTCTAACATTTTATGCTGCCTCCCGATTCCTATAGTTAGGAAAATTTTATGCTCCTTACAAAAATAAAATACAAAAAGTGGGAGTTCTTACATTAAACCTTGATAGAGATATTTGGTATTAAATTCGGGGATCATATTGAGGGGACTTACACAAATTGAAGAGAATATTTGCATGTGTAAGTAACTAAAAATAAAATAATAGTTAAATAAGAAAATGTTTCTGATGTTTAGAGATTATATGAAAAGCAATTTTATTCAGATTATTGCGAACATTATTTATTAATTAATGTAATTTTATTGAGATTTTATTCACACATTATTTTATAGAATTCGTAGTCAACTCGTATTATTTGCAGTAATTAAAAATGAATAATATTTTTATTTTAATGAATTATTTGTACCATTACCAGATTAATATTCTAATGTGATAAAATTTTATGAGAATATTAATGACGTAATTTTAGATTATGGGAACTTATAAATTAGTTATGTGAAAACACTTTTGGTGTACCAAATCTAAAGAAATTAAAGACATCAGTAAATCAGAAAACAATATCATTCAACGGCATTTAAAGGGGAAAAAATACACCTCAATTTATTTTTATTAAAGGATTTTTCTTTACAGTTTTATGTTTTTAAAACAATAGAGGTTTAGGAAATACTAATTTAAAAATCTACTTAACATCTAACTCTGACTAAAAATATTTTTTAATTTTTTATGGTTTTAATTTCATTTCTGTTTCTTGGAGATGATATATGAAAAGTTTTCTCATTATAAATTATTCGTTTATATATATATATATACAGTGGTGGCCAAAATTGTGGACACTTTTGGAAATTTTTATGTTTTTGAACTTTGTATGCTTATAAAAAACTTTACGTTTCACAAAATGCAAACTTGTATATATCATTTTAAACAGAATTTATTACTGAATTCAATACAAAACACAAAATTCAATTATTTGCAATACAAAAAAAAAGTTAAACGATAATAGTTATCGATATACATTAGATAGTGATGATTGCAGTGAGTTATCAGTACTTAGTAGGGTACCCTTTATTTTTGATTACAGCTTCACATCGACGTTTCATTGAGCTGACATGAGTTTTAAGCTCTTCTTTCGTTATTACATGATGCCAGGAAACAATTATAGCCTCAATTAGTTCCCTTTTATTTGATGGGCGCCTCATTCGGACAAGAGTTTTCAAACGGTGCCACAAATTTTTCGATAGGATTGAGGTCAGGACTGTTTCCCTGGCCATGACAACAATTTAATGCTCTTTGTACGAAACCACTCTTTCGATATTTTGGCCGTGTGGCAAGGAGCAGAATCCCGCTGAAAAATAAACGAAGCATTGTTGGGAAAGAGATCTCTGATGGAAGGTAGAAGTTTTCGGTTTTGCAGTGTGTAATGTCATTTTCTGGCATTCAGTGTCCCATTGATGACATGAAGGCGACCCATACCATCTGCTGACATGCATGACCAAATCATAACACTTACTGGGTTCTTCACAGTTGCTTGAATGCAGTCAGGATGTAACTCTTCTCCTATTCTACGTCTTACATATTTTCGCCCATCACTACCAAATAACGATATCTTAGTTTCACCACTCCATATAACTTGTGACCACTGATCATCTGTCCAATTAATGTGTTCCTTTGCCCACTGTAGTCTTTTTTTTTTCGTTGCTGAAAATTAAGATAAGGCTTTTTTCGTGGAATTCTACCTCTCAGTCCAACATCTGTTAATCTTCTCCTGATTGTTCTTGAACTGACAGAAACACCAGCATCATTCAGATAACTTCAGTTGGCCGTTGATGGCATTTTTCTATCTTGGAGACATAGTCATTTTATTCTTCTGTCATCAATAGATGTGGTGCACCTTTTTCGGCCTTTTATTTCTTTGTTTTTTATTAAATTTGTCTCCTGATATCGTAAACAAAACTTTCGGACTCCAGATGTAGTCACTGAACCACCCACCTGTCTTGCAATTTCAGCATAGGAAAGACCACTTTCTTGTAACACAATAATATTACATCTCTTTCTAGGTGTCCAATCTACTCTTTTATTTGATGTCATTGCTTCTTGACTAAATATTAAAAATTTTTACAAAAATTCCCACTTGTAATTGCAGCGTATAAGAAACAAGTCTTCCTTCTACAGAACAAAGCAAAATAATGAATTGTTTCAAGTGTAAACATGATGTCAGCTTCTACTGGCAGTTACTAACATTTAATTGGTTAACATTTAATTGGTATTTAATTGGTTCTCAGAACAAGAACAGTGATTGGCCAGGAAAGCTAGACATTACAAACCACTTCATAACTGTGTTTTTTAAGTACATATAACTTTTTTTGTATTGCAAATAATTGAATTTTGTGTTTTGTATTGAATTCAGTAATAAATTCTCTTTAAAAATGATATATACAAGTTTGCATTTTGCGAAACGTAACATTTTCTATAAGCATACAAAGTTCAAAAACATAAAAATTTCCAAATGTGTCCACAATTTTGGCCACCACTGTATGTACCGCCTGTTCAAACCGAGGTCTTTTGTATCATTCTTAAGGCCCTATGGTTTGTTAGAAACCAGAAGATTCACGACTACATCAAACTTGAAATTCTGCATGTTTTCATCCTAAAGGATATTTGTCAGTGTCTTCTTTCTGTCAGAGGACAAATCCCAGTGTGAGCTACGCCAGTGGTGTCAAACTGGAGACTCAGGGACCGCATGAGGCAATTTCTCGAAGCAATTTTATGCGACCTGAGAAGACATTTCAATTACGCATTTTTGCAAATACGATGTTGCAAAGATTTCAAACTTTTAGTTCTCTGAAGTTGGAAAAATAATTATTTTCATTCCCATTACAAATAAATATGAACAGAGCACCAGAAAATTTATCAATGTAGCTGCTTAATTCGTAGTGTGATATGTATATTACCTATATTCTTACCCAAAGATTCGAAGGTATAAATTTTATTAACTTTTTATTCGTATTTGTCATAAAACTAAATACGCTTACGAATTTTTCACTAAACGCTTTGTTTCGATTATTTTCACTCTTGAAAATTAAGAAAAATCTTATCTCAAGATCATTGGTATTGAAGAGATTGGGAAAGCCATAAGCAGAAAATTAAATAAAAATTCAAAAGATGAGTTTTGCGAAAGAATCAAGCAACGGTATTAAAATGCTAAGTATTGCACCGATTTACAAAGAATGTATCCTAAAAATTGAAAATTAAGTTCGCTATTTTCCTTGAGCTTAAGATTTAGAACGAAATTTCACCTCAACCATTGTAGACGGAGTGTATATAGTAAACACTTTAATATGTATGTTTAACTTCTCAGTCAGGGATGCTAATTATGTTACATCACGGAAATATCAAGATCTTTACTTTGTTACAGTGTCTTATATAAAGGTATTTTTTATCTTAAGCAAATAGATTTCATGTATTTTGCAATATACAAGTATAATAATTCAGTTTTTTACTCAATACACATTTTTGTTGTAGTGAATGAACTTAAGATCATCTATGATATTTTTTTCCAACATTTTAATGTCGCATGGCCTTTTTCATGTCTTGTAGATAAAATAACTATTTTAGAATATATTTTAATAGCATACTTTTCTATTTACAGAAACTAAAGTTCTTCAAGATACTTTAAGGGCTCCTTCCTTTGGTCAGTCAGTAACCACACCGCCTACAAAAAACATTCTTTCTCCTGTTACAGTGAAGAGTGAATCACGTAATCACGTATTTTGTTATATATAAAAATTGGATTCCTTACTTAATACACATTGTTATAGTGAATGAACTTGAGATCACCTGTAATATTTTTTTTTTCCTTTTAATGCTTTCTGATGTCTTGTAGATAACATAAGCATTTTGAAATATATTTTAATAGCATACATTTCTTTTTACAGAATCAGAAAATGTTCAAAATACTTTAAGAGCTCCTTCTTTCTATCAGCGAGTAACCACACCGCCTGCAAGAAGCATTCCTTCTTCTGTTAACGTCAAGAGTGAATCACGTAATCACGTATTTTGTTATATATAAAAATTGGATTCCTTACTTAATACACATTTTTATAGTGAATGAACTTGAGATCACCTGTAATATTTTTTTTTTTTGCCTTTTAATGCTTTCTGATGTCTTGTAGATAACATAAGCATTTTGAAATATATTTTAATAGCATACATTTCTTTTTACAGAATCAGAAGTTGTTCAAAATACTTTAAGAGCTCCTTCTTTCTATCAGCGAGTAACCACACCGCCTGCAAGAAGCATTCCTTCTTCTGTTAACGTCAAGAGTAAATCACGTAATCACGTATTTGATAAATATAATAATTCAGTTTCTTACTCAATATGCATTGTTATTGTCGTGAATGAACTTGAGATTATCTATGATATTTTTTTCCCAACATTTTAATGCTTTCTGATGACTTGTAGATAAAATACCCATTTTAGAATATATCTTAATAGCATACGTTTCGTTTTACAGATTCAAAAGTTGTTCCAGATAGTTTAAGGGCTCATTTTCCTAGTCAGCCAGTAACCACATCGCCTATGAAAAACATTCTTTCTTCTGCTACTGTCAAGAGTGAATCACGTAATCACGTATTTTGCTATATATAATAATTCAATTTCTTAACTCGGTACATATTGTTGTTGTCATGAATGTCGTGATCATTTATGATATTCCCTTTTATTAGCATTTTAATGCTTTCTTATGTCTTGTAGAAACAATGCCCATTTTAGAATATATTTTAATAGCATACGTTTCTTTTAACAGAATCAAAAGATGCTCAAAATACTTTAAGAGCTCCTTCCTTTAGTCAACGACTAACCAAACCACTTGCAAGAAACACTTATTCTTTTGTTAATGTCAAGAGTAAGTAACGTAATTAAGTATTTGACGTATATAATAATTAAGGTTCTTACTCAATACACATCGTTATTGTCTTGAATGAGCTTGAGATCATTTATGACAGTGGTTCTCAACCTTTTGACTAATGCGTACCATCTAAACCAAAATTTAACACCTTTTGTACCACCTCTATAAAGTACTACTACCACTCTTGAACAAAGGTCAGATCGCATAAATTTAAGAGTGTTAGAGAAAGAACTCAATCAGGATTTTGGAGTTTTAATTTCTGAATTTAATACTTAAAAATACTTCTTTGCGTACCACCGGTTGAGAACCCCTGATCTATGATATTCTTTTTTTCAACATTTTAATGCTTTCTGATGTCTTGTAGATAAAATACCCATTTTAGAATATATTTAAATAGCATACGTTTCTTTTTATAGAATCAGAAGATGTTCAAAATACTTCAGGAGCTCCTGCTTTAAATCAGCCAGTAATCACACCGCCTACAAGAAACATTCATTCTTCTGTTACTGACAAGAGTGAATCACGTAATCCACGAAGAAATTCTGTGACTAGGGAAATCAAGATTCTTCCGAATTCGCGAACTGAGGAATGCATCCAGAAAGCCGGTGGTGCATGTAGGCTGAGTCAGCCTCAACTGGAAATTTTTTTTTAACCATGTTAAGGGGAAGAAAGACATTCGTAGAATTCTGAAAATGTATAAGAATATGCATAAGATAAGCGAGAAAGCACTGGAAGAACAATTGAAGGAAATCGTGCGCTTATATTACGTTTCAAAATTACCAGAAACAAAGGAAGATAAGTCATTAATAAGATGGTTGGAGTGTTTAGTAGAAAGACTCAACAAAAAAAGTCGACAATTCAAGAAAAAAAAACATCTGGAAAAATCTCTCAAAGAAAAACCAAAAGGCAGCATTTTCAAACACACATGCACACACATAAGCGGCTGTATGTAAGAGAATAGCAGGTAAGCAATTAAAAAGTAGCAGCATAGTAAGAATCTTTTGCACCTGAAACAGAAACACTTCATAAATTATATTTGTCTGAAGGAAACTATAGTTTTGACATTTTGTCATTTTCATAGAGATTGTTAAGGGCTCGCACCAAGCAGTAGAATCAAATGTCAGCTACACAAACCAAAATATACTTTTGTGTTTGCAGCACAATATTTGATTTGTTTTTTGTAGATGTTGGCTACACCTTCCAGGTTTATTCTCAAGGACACTGAGGCAACAATGGAAGAGCATTTTGCAAACCTTGCTAATAAACTGAACTATGAGACGACGGCGGCAAAGCGAAAGAACGCTTAGACTTCCACAGTATTTTAATTGAGCCATCTTAATAATAAAGACTTTCAGAATGTCAAAAGAGCCCGAGTACATCTTTAATGGAAATTACTCAATATAGCTGATATGCATTGATGAAACACTTTTACTATATCACTTACTCATGCATGATCTTTATAATACCTCAGTTTGCCTGCTAATTTTTTTTTTCCTCAAATCAACCGATTTTTCTTCCTCTGGTTGCTCCTTCTGAGACCAAATTCCTTTTTCTGATGTCCCGAAAGCGTAATGACTTGTTTTCAGAAGTTATCACAGAATGTCAAACTATGCCCGTGATTCCAGAGTGAGCCATTTTTTTTTTTTTTTTTTTTTTGGATCATTTATAGTGTGCCTTATACCTTTATCTCGACATTCTTATCAAGGGAGATTTAGCTTTCTGATTGTTTCAGTCTTTATATCACTTTTTCCAATTCCTTTTAGGTAATTTGTTCCAATTATGGGTACAAGTGATACTGTACCATTACAGTTAAATTTGTACGTATGTATTTATTAAAACTACGTACTTGTTAAAAACAATGTTGTAAAGCAGTTAAAACTGACCTTGAAAATACAGTCAATTTGTAAATGAATTACAAGTTTACTTTGATTTTCTCAGTAAAAGTATTGTAAATATGAATTCAGTTAAATGTGCACATAACTGTCAGGATTTTATATAACTATCACATGTAACCTGTACAATACATTGTAGTTAGTATATCTATGTGTTATACACAGGCTTTGTATGCCCATGTAATATTTGTATTTATATTTTTATACGGAAGAAATAATACTTTCTACTAGGATGACTATTAACATTGTAAGACTTTTACAACAAAGTCAGGTCAGTGGTTTTCCTAGGCGGCGACAGAAATCCCAATAGTGACAGAAATGAAGTACAAATTCGAGTTCTGGATTCTTGAATCTTTCTCAAGATTCATGCTAAACTGAAATATCCTATCCCTGTACGACAACCGATTCGGAATAAGCTAAGTAATTACTCAGTTGCTCCTTCTGAGGCCAAATTCCTTTCGAAAGCGTTAAATAAGCAAAAATTTTTAAAGCAAAAATATCAGTAGGAAGTCAATGAACCCAGTGTTATCTCGGAGGCTATCCTTTCTCAGAAAGAAAAAAGTACATTCATATCTGTTCGAAGTATCATGCGTTCGATTTCTTGCGCAGAAAGCTATTTTTTTATTATTATTATTATAATGGCGAAATTTTATTAAGTCACTAATGATTTGCAACGTTGAAAGTTCAAATTTACGGCAGTATACTTATTCTAACTCATACATTTTTTCTTCTCGTGATCTGTAACATATTTTATTATTGTATTGTTTTCACAAAATGAATTATGTTCTATTTTCCGAGCGTATATTTTCGAAAATTTAACATTCTCGAGAAAGTAAAAAATTTTAAAAGTTACAAATTATTGGGTTTATTTTTAATTTAGAGCAAATTCACTATTATATATTATGCTCTGTTAACATCAATGAATCGTTTCTCAGAAGACACAAAAATGCTTAAGACTCAACTGATGATGTAGTAATGGCTCTAAATAGAATTAATATACAATATATAAATAATAAATATCAAGGAAGTAAGCGTTATTTCTAAATATCAAGCAAATTTTGAAACTAATGCAATCTTCATAACAATAATGCAAATTAATATAATATATATGTAAAATAAACTGCATAAATGATAAAAAGAATATTTGCGCTCTTTTTTTACTTCCTTGTGCGAAGTAAAAAGGAAGTATTGTAATCGCGAAAAGTTTCAGGCAGCATATTTCAACGAAAATATCTATTTTGACCGCTATCGAATGAAATTTAACGATGTTTTTGCGTGATATCTGTACCTAAGGACAGAATAAAAGACTTTTTTCCTCCAAAAAAAATTATAAAACTGCTTAAAATGAATTCTGAGGAGGATTTTTCGTGGCGTCTGTTCGAACGTATGTAAATACGTACGTACGTATCTCGCATAACTCAAAAAGGAGTAGCCTCAGAACGTAGAAATTTTGTATATAGGGACTGCTATAACATGTAGATGTGCACCTCGTATTTTGGTTGCAATCGACCGCACCAAATAATGAGTGAATATATATATAACTATATATATATATATATATCCACTCTGTTACCCGGCTCAGTGATCTCAGTTTCTTTACTCTTATATGTTTGTAAATTGTACATTTTTTGCTTTAAAAATGATTGTATTATGTTGTTTTTATCTTCCAGTTAAGGGTTTTATGCCTTTAGTAAATATGTCTGCAATAATTTTAGAATTATCAACAATTTTAAAGTTGTTTAAGTGCCGCTAAGCCTTTTTTTATGGCGGACATTGATTGTTTACATTTGAAACAGCAGACTAGTGGATTTGTTCCCAATCTGAAGAAACTTAGCTTCGCAACAACAAAGATAATGCCTTCATTTATTATTTGCCAAATAAATCATGCTTAATCCTTTCTGGAACTTTTTCGAGGAAATAAGTGTTTAAGATTTACTTCGTAATTTTTAATACAGATATTTTGACTTTTCATGTATTTTTGCTTTGTCGCGAAGTGAGACTGAATTAATTGAATGAGAAGTACTCAATAGTCTGTGAAAAACTGTTTCCTTTTTGTTTTGTTTGCTTAATTTCTTTTATACATAGTTCTAGCTTTATTATAGTATTTGAATAGGACATGTGGCAACGATTAGATAATTCTTCAAATAATATAAATTTTGTGCATTCTGAGTTATAATATGAACGAAATATAATACTGTTAAGTGAACCTAGCGCCAGAGTGTCGCTATGGTAAACAAATAGAGTGAATTTTAAGGAATGCATTTATTCTATTGTGGTTTATGCGCTGTCGGCGAAGTAGAATTGATTCAATCCAATAAGTTTAAATGAAATGCAAGAAAAAATGCGTATAATTTAATATTCCGTACAAGGAAGTCATGTGGTGTACACATCAGATTTTTTAATTATCTTAAAGTTTCGAATCTCTTGATGTACGTAGATTGCTGTGGCTAAACGTTTTCAGTTTTGCATGAAACAATTCATAGAAAATTACATGAATTGTGGCAAAATAACTCATGAGTCTTGCATCTCAATAATGAACTTGCTCCCAATGCTTTTGTTTGTAATGAATGTTTGGCCAAATATTCAGCATTTTCACAAGCTCTGTGTTCACCTGATATGACACCGTGGGATATTTTAATTATTGCTGCTGTTAAAACAGTCTTTTCGGTCATTGTTCACTTTAAGTGTACTGATGCAATAAAATAAGATCCGCTGCTATCCCCGAAGGAGTTTCAGGTAAACGAATTTACTTTTCGAGGATTGTAAAAACGTTGGCCCAAGTATATTGTAGTTAAAGAAGATTAGTTTAAATGGTGTTCCGGCTTAGATAAAAACTTTTCTCTGCCTCGGAATGGCAATAGTCTGAACTTGAGAACTTGATTTTTGATTTGTTTTGACACAGTTTGAATGCCGCCATTGAGATGTTAGATTATAGGATATTGAATTAAATTCGTTTTTTAAACTAGATTAGGTATTTTGAATATAGAATTATCACTGATCCACTACATGTAGAATTTTAGCTGCGCTATTTGTATATTTGTCTAGCGTACAAACGGGATGTAATAAATATTAGGAGAAGAAATTGCGCTGAATTATGGAATACGAATATGTCTCTTCGGAAAGCACAAAAACGTATCCTTCAATCCACGGCTTGTTTATATGCAACATATTGAAAGATAAAAAAATTTGAAAGTTGCAGGCTATATTTCTCATTTCAAATGATAAGGTGTTGCAAGACATTTTTATTCTAAACTATTCGTTTTCTTATTTATTTATTATTATTATTATTATTATTATTCAAAATCCTTTTAACAATGTGTAAACAACCTCTGCACAATTTGTGAAAAATTCCTCATTTCTCCCATGGTCTGAATTACTGAACTTACATCCTTTGATAATTTGAAGATGATTTAATATTGGTGCGTTCTACGGGTTCATGGATCTGGAGTAATTGATAGTAAAAATTGATGAAGAATCAAAACAAAATTTATTCGCCAGCAAGCACTATTACACAGGAGAGTTCAAAGGCATATTACTGTCGTTTGAAAACTACGACAAACGCGCTGAAACAATCAGCAACACAGATATCAGGCTATCAGACAATAACGGGGAAGACAGCTTCACGGCATAGCATTAAAGTACAGCCCCCAAGTCAGTCGATCGCTCTCAAGCTAATCTCTGAACTCAAGTCACTACTACTCCACTACTGAATTCAAGATACTACTTTCTCCGCGTACAGGCAGGGTATATATAGCTTTAACCTACCTTCAAGAATATTCTCTAGAAAATCGCTAAGAATGTTCTCGCTCCGTCTACGGCATATCGTCAATTTTGTCTCCAAATATCTCCACATGGGCCATTTCACGCCAAATCTGGCAACCCTGACTTTCTCTGCCACTTTCTGGCAACACTAAGCTTACTTTGCGGGAAAGCTATCTCAACGCAGTTGGGCGTTTCGCAAAAAAAAATTTATTTACATCTGAGGTACATGGCATTTGACTGACTTTTTTCTTAACTTTATTCCGCTTTAAATTTTCAGCTGAGTTCTTCTATTCGGCAGTTTTACATATTTTAATGCATTTCGCCTGCATTTTCTGACAAACCTAAACCTGCTTCGCGTGGAAGCTATGCGTGGGGATTTCATAAGGACTGCACGTCCCGGGCAGTACAATCTTTGATCAGAAGCCAAATTCCATACAAACAAAACGTAATAAAACGAACAAGTAACATAACTAAAGAAACAAATATTTACACTATTTACAAATTATATACACGCATTAACCACATAACAATTTTAAATTATACAAATTAAAGTTCAGAATGAATTTCATTCTTAGTCTTTAAGTTATAGCCGGATCAAATACTTTTTCACTGCAGTTCTGATGTATTTCTGTTTTGCATGTCACAGTCTGAAAAGTCAGTCCTTTCAGACTTTTCAACCGCAGGAAGATCTGAAACAGTTTGTTCACAGCTCTGTAATTTATTCGCATCATGTATACAGTTCACCTAGGTAAATTCAGCAGCTGGTACGTGATCATTTTCAGCCGTTTCCCGGGAACCAGCTCCAAATTCTGCATCAGGGTTATGAACGGAACCCGATTCTTTACAAACACAAGTATCCTGGCTGAGAATCAAGTTCGTATCTGCACAATCTGTATTAGGAGACACACAGTTTGTGGAGTGGGTGAATTTTCTTGCAGCACTGGAGCACTCTGCATAAGTTGCACATCAGTTTCTCCCATCTCTGCATCAGGTGCATTTTCAGATGGTTCAATACTTGCTAACTGCGACTTCGTAATTTAACTATCCGTTTCGACGAACATAACAATCGCATTTTCACTTTCTTCTATCTCTGCTTCAGACACGTGCAAATCAAATTCTTCTTTGCCGTCTTTTATTTCTTCATGTTTTCGTTCTTTTCTTTAATCCCATTAAATGTTTCATCCATCATTTCTGGATCTTCCTCAGATACTTCACGAGCTATTACCTTCATTTCTTCATCTTCTGATTCTTCAGATGCCACTTCTATCATTTCCACATCTTCTTTTATGACTCCAATTTCTTCTG